AAAAGAAAAGAAGGAGAAAAAACGATGCCATATTAGTATTCTTTGTTTGTATACCAAATTATTTTCATTTTGAAACGATTCATTTTTTTTTTCCTTTCATAATTCTATCAATATTATCAATTTTTTTTATTGTATTTTTTTTTTATTCTCAGGTTATTATGAAAAAATTTCTCGAATTTCCGGATCTTTGGCATAAAAGTATTCCTAATCTTAAATTACTTCATATGGTAATGCAGGTTTTGTTGGTATTTTATTGTAGAAAACAAATATTTCATAGGTATATTGCTGAAGGTAAATTCGATATTGGCAAATTATTAGCTATTTAATTTAGTGCCAAAATATCCCTACTTAATTCTTGACATATATTGTTACTAATTGCTTACTTGGCAAAAGATCTTGGTGATAATTAATTTTGTTGTCGTTTTCCAGCGCTTATTGTATTGTAGCATTGTAATTTCTTTTATTGTTAGAAATTTGAAAGTTTAAATCAAATTAGATAAATAAAGAAGTTGCCGCTATCACTTCATTTTTTCATATTAAAAGTGTAAAATTTTCATGATTTCCAATTTCATAAATCAACAACATTCATCGCTTACATAATAGCAATAACATTATCACCAAATTTATTGCTCATATCTATTCTCAAAATGTTTGACAATAATAGTTTAATTTTTAAATTTATTTTTGCTTAATTTACATAATTTATTTTAATTTATTGCGTATTGATTTGTTTGTTTTACTTTAGCAATTTCAATTTATTTTTTTAGCTGGCAGTGTTATCGAAGAGAAATTTGATAATTTTTATAATTTGCTCATTTCCTGCTAATATTGCCATTCGCATAATTTTATGATAAATGTATTTTGCGTTGCATGCACAATGAAATTAATGTTTTCCTAATAAAATATAATTAATTTCTGATAGAACATAATTTAAACATAATTTTTGATGATTTATTTGTAGAAGGTACCATTGCTCCTCACTTCTCATTCACTGCTTTTCGTGCAAACCTTACACCGTCAACATTTTATGCCTTGTCCATTCCATTGGCCCTTTTTGTATGCCCCATCCATTTTATGCCTTGTCCATTCCATTGGCCATTTTTGTATGCACCATCCATTTTATGCCTTGTCCATTCCATTGGCCATTTTTGTATGCACAATCCACTTTATGCCTTGTCCATTCCATTGGCCATTTTTGTATGCCCTATCCATTTTATGCCTTGTCCATTCCATTGGCCATTTTTG